ATCATCAAATTGATCATCTCGACATCAAGATGCATGGACATGAGAAAAAAATGGATTTCAAGTTTGGAAAATAGTGTATTTTGTAACGCATTTTTGGACCGTCAATTTTTTAAATTTTTTAGTTTTCATAGATATGTCGATCTACACTATTTTTGAAGCTTTAAATCTTATAAATAAAGCTGAAAATATATTTTAAGGCTATCACAAAGATTTCCAGTATTGAAATTGCATTTCTCGACACTATTTGAAGGTAGGCTCTAATTTGATTGTTTAGAGCCTAGGTTCTGTACAAACCGCACTTAAAAGCACTCATGAGTGAATTTCTACATTATTTTGCTCATGGCTTATCACCATCCGAAGTCCATTAGACATGATCGTCAAATATTGTTTGGATTTGAATCATTTTTCTACAGATCAGATTGACTTGAAATTTTGTGGACGTGTGCGCCTTAGTGAGGTATACCAAAATAAAATATTAAAAATACAATCCAAATATTAAATTATCTCAATGAATATTTCAAGGGTATTTTTGTTGTTTTATTTTTTGATAATTATTTTTAAATATTTATTTAGGTGTAAGTTGGTTAGATGTACACACGCTCTAAATTTTAGGTCAATCTAATTTGTAGAAAAATTGTTAAAATTCAAACACTATTAAACAAATGTGACCTTATGATGGACTTTGGATGGTTATAAGCCTTAAATGGAATATTGTAGAAATTCACTCATGAGTGTTTGTAAGTGTTTTCCTATAATTATTATCGTGGAATTTTGATACAAATTAATCAAGTCACATTTAATTTAATTGCCTAAAAATGCACTGCCTTGTCTGGGCCCATACCAGTCATGGATGTCCCAAGCCCAGGTTACGGAGGAGGGTTGTGATAAGTAGGCAGCCATCATAAAATTTTGCCGCATGTTTTCATGATTCTTGAACCTATGTTGGAACATGATTCGTGTAGGATAAAAATAAATCAACATAACTGAGAAATTAAATTTTAAAAATCAAACCTCTTAGCCTTCATACCATGTGGATGACAATCAGGTCAGACCCTGGGGTTATCGGGTCCTGTTCCCCGCACCCTCCATTGGGTGCAAATTTCGGGTAGAGTGGTCTTGGACCCAGCTGGGCTTGGGTCCTGGGTCCATTCTATATATTGTCAGGTAGGGTCCCGGTTGACCCATTCCCAGCCCTAAGGCTGGAGACTACTCTCCACCATGGTTGTGTGGTCATTTGAGATCTCCTCAACTGCGCCTGACCTAGCGAATTAGTCAGCCACTGAGTTGGCTTCCCTGTTGATGTGGAGCAATGAGAATCAGAATCGTCCTGCAAAGATGGAAAATATGGTCAATGATATGCGCCAGTTTCCAATGGTAGGGTGCAGACTAAGACACCTAAGAAATGATGCTTGGAATGCCCTTCCAGAATTAGGTGAGCTCCACAGGTTTTGTCAAATCCTTTTAGAATAGCAATTGATTTGGTGATTGTGCAGTCGGCAATACCAGCGAATATTGAGAAGGATAGAATGATGAGGGGCTTGATGCTGGTTATCAAAGTACTCTGTAACGACCAGAAGAATGGGATTACGAGCTCTAAACTTGGAGGTTCCTTATGTACTTCACCTAATGGTGATGCTGAAACGTATCATTATTTGAGCCTGCCTATGCCCAATATGATACATAAGATCCCTTAATTTAAGTTAAGCCACTATTGTTGCAGGAAGAGTTATGTGGACCTTAATGGAACTTTTTAGCCAATCCCACTAAACCCCTAGTGAATAAAAGTTTGTTGTTATTCTCCCTCCACTTGTTCAATATTGCTGGTTGAATAGCAGAAGTATCCTATTCGGTAGAGAGATTAAACCCTTTAGTGGCCTACTTCCCCTGAGCCCCATAATTAGGCCTGGGAATGAGCTGGGCAGCCCATCTTGGCCCTGCCTTAAAAAGCTAGTGCCTGGGCCATGGTTGGACCAATTCTACCTGGCCTGGCAGCCCTTTTTCTCTTACCTTTTTGTTGCCCTTTTATTTTCTTGAATTATATGTGGCCCAGCCCATCCTTGATAGGCCAGGGCCGGGTGTGGGCTATGGCCCTGTCTGGGCCAGGCTGGGCTTTGTTCAACTCTTTAGGGACTAGGTCCAGGCTAGGGCCAACGCTGGCCAGGAAGTTGTTTCTCTTGCCCATGATCCTAATTCTGAGACACCACACGTTAAAATCTGAACTGGAAACATCGCAATTGGGGAATCTTTTAGGAAAGCCAATGACAAAATCGCTCAACAGAAGGTTCTTAAGCGTTAAAATCTGCACATGTAAGCCAAGTCATCGAAGAGGTACTAGGGAGTCCAATGTTCCTCTCTCAAATGATGTGAGTTGTTGAAGGGATGCTGGACTTCCTTCCCTCATGATTCTAGAATTTGATTGGCATATTTTTTGGAATGATAGTTTCAAGTGAATGATATACAAGTTATAGTATCTGAATATCCACTTAAATCATGATCGTCTTACAATCAGTGAAGAAAGAGTTGGCAGCCTGATTGACAACCGCCTAGGCTGTTTGGACGGGCATGCCTAAGGCAGGCTCAAGGCGGTCTAGGCACCCATCTAGTATCGTCCAAACAAAAATAAGGCTGGGTATTGCCCTTCTCTCTCTCTCTGTCTCTTGGATCCATGTGCTCTCTACATATGAGAAGGAGAAGGAGAAGAAGAAGAAGAAGAAGAAGAAGAAGAAGAAGGACTCCAAGTGTTCGATGCGCGGCTTCTCTCTCTCTCACACACATGTACACACACAAGGATATATATGGACCTATATGCTCCCTCCTTACGTGTCAGAAAAAGAAAAAGAAGAAGATGACTTTCAAGTGTTCGATGTGAAGTCCCTCTCTCTCACAGACTCTCTCTCTCTTCACATATCCTCTAGGTGTACGAGACCTCTCTCTGACAAATAAAGAATCCAAAAGAAAAAAAGAGGATGAATCTTTAAGAATATCATGCGAGACCTCACGCACACATATGTGCACAGGCATACACATACACACTCATTCACAAAGCACACACACAAAACAACATATGGCCCCCACCCCACTCCCCTTTCCTTGGGGTTGCCCAGCTATCTGGGCACCCGCCCAGCCGCCTAGGCTGTCAAGGCCCTTGGCCAACAAGGTGGCCGCCTCCGCCTTTTTGAACATTGCTTACAATCCATCAATAAGAGCATTTCCTTGAAGTGATTTGATATTGCAAATTTGGTTTCTTAATCTGTCTAACATTGTCATGCAAACCTCTTATTTATCATTTGATATTAAACACACCCTTTTTCATTTCTTTTTTCATCAGGTTGTTATTGTGATAGGCAGCTCAGAAAGTGCTGCTGACATCTCCAGGGAGATCTCCAAAGTTGCCAAGGAAGTTCATGTCTCATCAAGATCTGCATTAGATAGATTTGGAAAGAAATTTTATGGGCATGAGAACATGTGGCTTCATTCAATGGTAGTAACAATTTCTCCTATGAGATGAAGATGAAAAGTTTGCAAGGAGAAACCTGAAATACCTACCATGCATTGATAAAGATTTCGAAGGAACAAACTAATGCCAGCTAAAATCATGCAGATACAAGGCACCCATGAAGATGGTACAGTGGTATTCCAAGATGGAACTTCGGTTATTGCCAATGTTATCCTCCATTGCACTGGGTACATGCATCAAAATCCTTGTCTAGTGAACTAAAACTCAATTTGAATTAGGATTGAGGGTTCAGCCTTTGAAGTTACTGGGCTTGATCATGGAGTTGGAGAAGAATTATGGTGGAGATTTTAAATCAAAAGTGTAAATTGAGAGAGAGAGAAAGAGAGAGAGAGAGAGAGAGAGAGAGAGAGAGAGAGAGAGAGAGAGAGTAGTTATAGTAGTAGTTATTACTACGTACGTACTACTTTACTTTACTTCTTACTTACTACTACTAACTACTATAATACTATTATTAGTTAGTTACGTAGTAGTATACG